AAACCATCCTGTGGTGCTAAGTCCTCGCTTTGAAGAGACGGCGCCCCGCGTTCTCCTCCTCCCGTCTCCATCCTCCCCCTCCTCCCTCCTCCCATCCCTGCCTCTCCTCTCCGCATGCATCTGTTTCGGCACACCCCTCGCACGCTTCGTGGCCCAATAAGGGACTCCACCGAAGGCCCGAGTGGCAAATTTCGCATGGCGGCCCCGCCTCATTTCGGCGCATTCCTCACACGTTTCGTGGCCCCATAGGGAAACCCACCGAAGGCCCCAGTGGCAAAGTTCGCATGGCGGCCCCGCCCAATTCGGCGCACCCTCACACGCTTCGTGGCCCCATGGGGAGCTCCACCGAAGGCGCCAATGGCCAAATTTGCATGGCGACCCCGCCCCATATCCATGTCGGCGCACCCCTAACACGCTTCGTGGCCCCACAGGGAGCTCCACCGAAGGCCCCACTGGCAGGGTTCGCATGGCGCCACAGCACCCATTTCGGCACACCCCTCACGCGTTTCGTGGCCCCACAGGGAGCTCCACCGAAGGCGGGGCTCACAACTGCAGTACCCACAATTACATATGGTTAGGTCCTTCGCCAGGATAATTGCATTGGCCTTTCTCGCCTGTGAGCTCAAACCATGTGTGTTTTACACGGGCTCCTTTCGCCCGCGAGGGCAAACCATCTGTTGTACATGGATCCCTTTCGTCTGTGAGCTCATACCATGTTTTTGTAAAGTGGATTACTTTTACCCGAGAGAACAAGCCAAGTGAATTTTACATGGCTTCCATTCGCCCTTGTGCCAGCACCGTGTTTTTTGTATGGCCTCCTTGTCGCCCGTCGACGCAAACCATGCATTGTTGCATAGATTGTGTTCGCCTGAAGGGCCAAAACCCTATCTTTGGGGATATCGGTTCCTTGCGCCCGTGAGCTCAAACCGTGTGTTTTACGTGGGGTGGGCTCCTTTCGCCCGTGGGCCCAACCCCTATGTGTGTTTTCCCGGATAGCTCCCTGAGAGCTAGGAGGGCGTAAGATTCGAAGCTGGCAGCGCGGGGTCGCCTGGGAGCTCGGTCCGGCGCCGGTCCAGAATCCTCGCAGCGACTCCGGCGAAGTTGCAGCTGGTCCCAGAAGCATACTCCCACTCCGCAGCTCCTTCGCAGCTCCTTCGGAGCTTCCGCGAAGATCATGGCCACAAGCGTGCGAGCTCTCAAGTCGTCCTCTCAGGCGCCTCCGAGGAGAGGCTGTCACGCGCTCGTGACTGCGCCGCCATCCGGTTCTTGGGCGCCACGAATTGACATTGGCTCCCTTCGCCCGGGAGTTCAAGCCATGTTTATGTACCTGGGTCGGTGGCCCGCGGGCTCAGGCCATGTGCGCGTGTGCTCTCAGAAGTTCCTTTCTCCTCTGGGCCCAACCGTAGGAGACTCCAGGAAGTCCCGAGAAGCCCTAAGAAGGCCCCGATGTCCCCGGACGTAAAAAACACACCATGTGCTTGTTTTGCAAAGGTTCCCTTCGCCCGTAGGCTCAAACCGTGCTTTTTGCATGGGTTCCTTCTGCCCGTGAGCCCATACCATGTGTTTAAGCATGGGTTCCTTGCGCCCGCGAGCTCAAAACGGTGTGTTTTATAGAAGTACCTCTAGCCCGTGCGCTCAAACCGTGTGTTTTGCGTTGGTTCGCTTCGCTAGTGAGCCCAAATCCTGTGTTTCTGCATGACCCCTGCCCGTTCCGTGGCGTGTCCCCTGGCACGTTGGCGCGTCTCCTGGAGCGACCCTTTCGTGACTTGGCAGCGCGCACAAAGGGGGTGGAGGGAGGGGGGAGGGCCTCTTAGAAAGAGGCTGCTTCTTAGAAGGCGCCGGCCTTACATCTGTGGGTAAGGCCCGCGCCTTCTAAGAAGCCAAGGTGCTTCTAAGAAGCCCTCCCCTCCCCCCCCACCCCGCTCAGCGCGTGGCTGAGGGACGCCCCCTGGCACGCCCCCATGGCGCGCCCCTCGGCGCGCCCAGCGGCGCGTCCCCTGGCTCGCTCTCGTTCGCGTTCCCTGGCTTGTCTCCATTGCGCCTCCCCTGCCCGTTCCGTCCCCTGCCACTTCCGCTGGCTCGTCCGTTGCCACGTTCCCTTGGGCGTCCTCTGGAACGTTCCCTGGCACGACGTCCTCTGGCACGCCCCATGGCACGCGCGCTGGCACGTCCCGTGGCAGGTCCCTGTATCGATACGTCCACGGCATCCCCTGACACGTCTCCCTGCGAATCCCCGAATGCGCCCCTGGCACGTCCCGTGGCGCGTCCATGCGCCCTGCGCCCCGTGTCGTCTCGTCCCGCTCAGGAACTGAATCGGATCTTGAGCTCGAGCTAATTGAGCGTCCAATGTGCTTCGATTGCAACCAGCTCTGGGCCAGCGATGCGCTCAGTCAGCTCGAGCTCAATATTGATATAACTTCGGTCAGGACCCGGATTTGATCCACAACGATATAGAGTACAACGCAATGCATCGCGGCATGACACATCTCAATTCAGCACGGCACAGCACAGCACAACCCATGGCACGGTGCATCACGATCGACACCTTCAGCGTTGCACTAGTGCCCGTCGCCCAGTGAGATGTGCTGAATGCCATGACTCGCATTTCTCAATTCCTTTCCGGCTTGTCGATCATGTTTTTGTGACCGCAATCTTTGTATCGCGCTTGAGCCGAGCGAGCCCCGCCTTGGAGGGGGCTAAGGGTGCCTGGGATGGTTGGTCCCCGAGAAAAAATCTGTCAAAAAGGGGGGGGGGAGGAGCGGGGCGATCGGTCCCTCCCGGGGTCCATCTGAGGGGGCCACATGCGAACCCTACCCCTACCCCCCACGATTTCTGAGGGGTGGTGCAGTTTTTCATCCCAAATCCGTTTGTCACTTTCCCAGGGCCCGAAAACAGGGAAAAGCACGGCACCTCTGGCCACCGGGCCGAAGACGCAGCCGGGACAGGGACAACATCGACCAGGACTAAAACATTGGGGATCTCTTCGGGAGCGGCCAAGAGGGGGGTGTCCAAGAGGGGGGGGGTGCAAATAAATCATGACCGGCGGCACGTGCGCGGCCCAGCGGGGGGACCAGGGACGCAATGAAATAAGAAGAGGCGCCGTGAAATCTGGGGAAATATCGTGGCCCCCGCCATGATATTCACCCCCCCCCCTAGTCATCACCCCCCTCTGGAGGACGCCTCGGGGGCGCGCGGGGCGGCCCCTAGGCATCCCCCCATCTCTGGGACAGGGCAGCTCTGGAGGGCGCCTCGCGTCTCGGGCGCCGCGGCCTTCTCAGGGCGTTCCGGAACGATCTGGGAGCGTTCTGGGAGGGGGAGAGGGAGGAGGAGGAGGAGGAGGAGGAGGAGGAGGAGGAGGAGGAGGAGGAGGCCCCGGAATGATTCGATACATGTCCTAGCCCCGCCCATTGGAGGCCTGGAAAATGGCACCAGCACCAACACAGGGGGCTGCCCCCCACAGGGGGAAGAGGGTCCTAGATTTCCGTCTTGGTGGTCATAGTTCGGTCACCTCGGAAGCCATCATAATGAGGGGAACAGGCAATGACATGAACATAAAAACTCGGAGGTCCGCGCGGATTTCTCGCAGCGCGGATGCGAGAAATCCGCGCGGACCTCCTTGTTTTTATGTTTATGCCATTGCTTGTTCCCCCAATCTGACCACCATCGCCGAGGTCGGGATCTTCTTCCCTCGGCTCGGGCGTCGGCCGAACTGGGTCTAGCGGGACCTAGTTTGGTGATGTGTACGGGGGGGGCGCCCCCCAGGCCCCGTTTCGGGGATGGACAGACCCCCCTTTAGTAAAACGTGGTTTAGTGAAAACGACCTGAGGCCCAAATCTGGCGGGCGCAAGCCTGGAACATAACGGCCACGACGCCCTCTCGAGAACCGAAAACGGACAATTCACTAATCGACGTGTCACTGTTGGGGGTTCTGTCCACCCCCGACCGTTCCGCTGAGCGGAACCGCCGCCACCCGAAAAAAACACCGGCTGCGGCAGACCTGGTTTTGCGTGACTCTGGCCGATTTACGGGCTCCGGGGCCCTACTACTAAACGGGCCCCCTTACCTTTAGGTCGGGCATGTCCAAATACAGTCGGATTTTGAGCGAAAATGGAAAAAAATACATCAAAAATGCCAACAAAGGAATTAAAAATGGTAGAAAAATCGTCCCCATACTATTTTCTGACTATGAGAGGGACTGTAGAGGGACACGCCCGACTTAACCTTACCTGGGGTTATGTTGCTCCCGTCGTACTTGAGGGCCACATTCAAGAAATAATTTCGAGCATCCGGAAAAGTGTCGAAAGAGTGTCGAAACAGTGTCGGACGAGTGTCTCCCAGGGCCCGACACGTGAAAACCCTCGAGTTTCGGCCCTTTTCTTGTGCTCGAAATTCTTCTGGTGGTCAAGACTACAGCAGGTTGGAACATCATAAACCTGGGGCCCCGGCTATACCCGACTTTTCCACCGCCGCCACCAAAGGGGGGAGGGGGTCCTCCTCCTCCTCCTCCTCCTCCTCCTCCTCCTCCTCCTCCTCCTCCTCCTCCTCCTCCTCCTCCTCCTCCTCCTCCCCCCTGGAGGCGAGGGGAGCGGACGGGAAGGGAGAAGAGGGGAGGGGAGGGGAAGAGAGGAGAGGGAATGAGAGAGGAGGGAAGGAGAGGGAAGGAGCGGGGAGGGGAGGGGTGGGGTAGAGTGGGGGGGGGGAGGGGGGGGGAGGTAGCCTCGACATTTCCACGGATCTCCACATCACAGAGGAGGAGCATGATTCGGAGCCTTCGGTTGAAGTTTCCGCCGGGCTCCGTCGGTATGCCAGCAGGCGTATGCAGCACGCCTGGTGCCACCCTCCACGCGCCCATCTCTCATCCGCCCCCCCCTCCTCTGTCCCCTTTTCCATTCCTACGTCCCTTTCCATTGCCCTCTCTTTCCATCATGCCTCCCCTCCCCTCACTCCCCCCTCCCAGTATGTTCTAGTTCTCCTCCTGCGAAAACCCTGAAGGGGCCGTCCTGGATCTTGGCCGAGCGGGCCTTGTAGCTCATCCTGAAGGTCGCCTTCCTGTTCAGTTTCTTCCAATCCACCGTCGGCACCTCAAGGGGCGGCGAGCACATGAGGAGACGCGCCGAATCAGGGTTACAGGACGGATGAGACGACAGGACAAGGTGAGGACGCACAATCTCTCGGAGACATACATGAGCACACGAACGGGTCTGCCCGAGCACATGCTCCCACACGGCTCTGATGGTAGACCCGCGCAGCAGAACCAGGGCCAGAGGCTGTTATGGGGGGGCCGAGGCTGAGGGACGATCAGAGCACCAGCCCCCCAATATTAATAAAAGACAAACGAGTTCAAGCGTAATTCTGGTGCGAAATCCAACCATTGCACCGCAGGCTCGCGAGCGGGATCCGGCGCTGTCGGCCATCCCTGGGATGGCGGCCTGAAGCGAAGTTATCTCGGCGCCACTTGCACTGAGGGTTGCCCTCCAGGGCCTTGCGGCCCTCACGCTCATTGTACAGCTGCGATCTACGAGCGCGTTCTGAAAAGGAGCCACGCCGCATGCATCCGACGACGCGGCCTCGAGAGGCCTGCGGGGGAATGACCCCGTCGGAAGGGAGCACGATGCTGGGAGGGGCCGCGTGGGCCCTCGTGGCGGCCGCGGCCAGTCTGGGACGCTCCTCCGGGCCAGTCCCAAGGCCAAGAGCGGCGGCGGCCTCGCGGACGCGCGTCGGAGCGCGAGGTTCGAAATTCCACCCGGGGCCCAAGTCTTATACAAGGCCCCGCCCCTTCCTCCTCAGGCCCCCTCGACCTGCCCTCGACCTTTAAGCCTCGGGAAGCGTGGGGGGAGGCGAACCGGGGGGGGGGGGGGGTTGAAGGGGGTCGAGGACGAAAGAAGAGTGAGGCCTGCCGCGAAGCGCCTTCCTCCCAGACCCTCCTCCTTCTGCTCGTGCAAGCCCACGGGGCCCCCCAGGCTCCTTTTGAAGCTGGGGCTGTGCTCTTGGGGGGGGGGGGGGGCTTGACGCGGAGGTCTCAAGGCTGGGCGAGGGCTCGGGGGCCTGAGGCCCCAGCGGGAGGCGAACCACGTACCTCTCCTTGCACGTCCTACGTCGCGCAGCAGCGGTCCGCGCGAACAGCTGACATCATTGACATGTCCAGCCGCCTGCAAGGCCAGGTCGGGGGCCACGTGGGCGCTTGCCAACGGCCAGCTCAGGACAGCGACGCTCGCGAGGGGCAGGTCGAGCACGCGGTTGCTAGCGCCGAGAAAATCGCCCAGGGGGTGGTTGCCGATCCTCATTTTCAACAGGCGTCATGGACGAGCCGATCCAGCGCGCCACTTGGAGAACTGCATTCAGATAAATGGCCATGAAGCTGGGTGGCCTCCGACGACGGCGCGTGCATAGCCAGGCCCCTCTTCGATGCCGCGCGCGCGCGTATTCGTTGCCCTCCTTATCAGGCGTAGGTTCGGCTACAATCTGATAAGAGCAAGCAAATGAGATCTGCATCTGCGGTGAGAGTCCGCCTTGCTCATGCACGGCGTGCCAGAGCTTCTTCCACGTGTCAGTGTTGGGCCTCCTGGGGTGAACGCGACATTCCCGCCCTTGCTGGAGTCCTTCCACATTGCCAAGGCAGTCCGTCCGCATGCGCATCGGGGTCACACCGTTGCGAAGGGCATGCGTCGCGGCGCAAAGTTCAGCGAGAGGAGCTGACTGTTCGTGTCCAGGCCCAGGACCGCACGCGATCCCGCGCATGGTCTGCCCCACCAACATCGCCATCCCCCATCCAGCGCGGTCGGCTTCGGGCCGGCCGGCGGGGGGGGGCCAGATCTGGCGGCGTAGATATCACCCACCAACGCAGCAGGGCCGCCCCCATCCGCACATCGCCACGCTTCCGTCACGCACGAGTGCAGCATCCGCGGAAACGCGCTTCTTGGCATCAAGGCTCTCGTGAAGAAGAGGTATGCGCGGGAGGCGCTCCGAGCAGCTCGAAGAATTTCCGGGTCCACTGCCGCGTCTCTCCCTCTCTACCTCTCTCTCTCTCTCTTTATGTTGTTCTTTGTGTTTTTTGTTGTTTCTCTCTCTCTCTCTCTCTCTCTCTCTCTCTCTCTCGTTGCAAAAGCGGACGGCGGCAGAGCCTGCGATGGAGGATCTCAGGACAGTCCGAGAAGTGCTGACTGAGGTCATCTACGACGTAGCCATATTGCTTAAGTACTGCCTGTGACCGTTGTCTGCCAATGGCGGCAATGTGCAATGATACCCGCGCTTGTTCTCCGAGGGCCCACTTCTCGGCCAGCTCTCGAGGGGGCCAGCGGGAGCATGAAAGGGGCGATCCATTATCCACAAGGCCAGCGACCAGGCGACTCAATTATGCAAAACGCACATTGACAACAGTTCGTCGCGCCAACGGTCGGACCCAGTCAGGGCTGTCCTGCGGAAAGTCAAAAGCTACGCCGGAGCTCGCAGCCCCTGCTGCAGCTAAGAGAGCACCCCAGTGAGAGCGCGCGCAGTGCCGCCAGAATTGCGCCAGCGGGGCCAGCAACATCGGCGCGCTTGGGGGTCGGGCCGAGGTGCTGCCACTGCTGCTGGAAGGCCTGCTCCAAGACCTCGCTGGAAGACTTGCTGCCCAGGACAAATAACGCCCGCGCGTAGAGTGGCCCGGCAGACGAGAGCAGCTCAGGGCGCTCGTTGCCCCGGGGTTCCTGGCGCGAGGCAAGCCGAACAGAAGTGCCAGGCGGCGCGCAGGTCCACCCGGCCCTCGCCACGTCGACCGCTGACTTGAGCAAGGTCTTCGCGGCGCCCGCTATTCGAGTGCCATGCTGCATGCATTGCTGGGGCGACGCATGGCTGGGCAACCGCTCGCCCTCTCTCGGCAAGACCACGCGGGCGTCTGAATCGAGGCAGCAGGTTGCACATCTTCACCACCAGCTTTCTGATTGACCAGAATCTCCGCTCGCGGCGGCCGCGCGCTTCCACGCCAAGAACCGCCAATGTCTTAAATGGTCGAAATCCATTCTGGCGGACCTCATGGGCAACCCGTTGGGCGATTGCGAAGTCGGAGGCGAGCGCTCTGGCCGCGCCATGGACAATGGGTAGGTCCAGGGCTTTTAAGACGGCGGCGAAGCGCCGCAGAATGCGCGCCCCCCTACTCCCCCCCCTCCCTCCAGCTTACCAAAGGACTTCTCGAAAATGCCCGAAGGAAATATCTTGACCAACTGCAAGAGAAATATGGCCACCGCGCAGCCAGGTAGCACTCTCCGATGCACCTGGCAGGAGTATCAATAAGAAGTGGTCATCTTGATGCGCCTGGGGGCGTAGTGCATCGCCGAGCACGGCTGCAAGATCTGCGCGGGAAACCCAACGAGCGCCGCGCTCGCGCGGCCAGCAAGCCCCGCCGAAGGACATGCTGATGTCAACGAGCGTTCCAGCGATAGCCTTCGCGTTGTGACGAGCGATGGCCTCGGCGCATATCATCGCGCGAGCGCCTGCATCCGAGGTGCATTCGTGAACGCCCATGGCAAAATAAGGCCGGCTACTTTCAGCCAGCCAATAACGGACTTCGGTAAGCCAAACCAGTGCACACATTCGATACAGCTCAGGGAGGAGGGCTACGGGTCGACACCATTCGCGTGGTCTGGCCAATAACATGACGTGCACACCCAAGACTGCAGCAGGCCACCTCATCCAAGATTCGGCAGCCCAGTATATGCAGATCATCATGGCGAGCGCTGCATCCGATACCACTGACATCGCTGGGGGAGGCAATGCGTCCGCCCCCAACCCTGCGCGCCACATGAATAATCGAGCTGCGTCCCGAACTTGCGCCACTGTCGGCGCGGGATGCGCAGATGGTGGGAGCTGTCGTAGAGCGCCAGCCAGGCCGCTATCATCCGCGCCAGACAGAGGACAAGGTGGTGCATCATCGTCAAGTCACTCTGCTTCCCCAGCGGCCTTTCAAGGATCCGTTTGGGCGTCTGCAGTCGACTGTGGTTTGGGATGGACTGCCGTGCCATCCTTGGCCCGCGCGCGGGCCCAGGGCTGGACGCGGGTGATGGAGTGGGCCTGAGCTGGGCCCGCTGTCATAGCATCTCGCGCCCATGCCTCAAACTTACGAGCCAGATGGCGCCTTGCCCGCCGCCCGAGCGCGTCGACATCGGCCGAGAGAGAATCTGCGTGAGCTCGCAGACACAAGACGAGAACAGCTGGCCGTTGGCGACAAGCCAAGTGAATGACGCCCGAGGCCCCGTCGATGTACACATTGCCTGTCTGCGCCTGGACGCCCCGTCGATGCCCGTGGCGCAGCAGCTCGGCAAGACGGGCCCATCTCTGACAACGACGCGCCATGGCGCGCGGCGACTGGCGCGAGTTGGTTCCGGAGGCTCCAGGATTACCCAAATGGCCTCCGAACGCGCTGACCTCGCCTCCTGGCGGCCTGAGCCCCTGGAGATCGCGGCCCCAAGCCTGGCGGCCCCAGGGGCCTGGGGCCCCGGGCTCCGCAAAGGGGCGCGGCGACCTAGTCGGCAACGCTGGAGGGCGGAGCCTTACACCCAATGCGGGGCATTCTCAGCGCCGCAAAGCCCGCAGGCGTTGCCGACGGCGCAGCGGAGGTCGCGGTCGCCGAGGAGATGCCGGCAGTGATGTTCAGCGTCTGCACGTCGGCCCCCCCTGAAAGTCGGCGACCAGGCCAAGAGCCGCGTGGCCCAAAGCGCGTGGATAACGAGGTGCACTGCCCCCAACTGGATAGGGTCCAATCTTGGGACCCCCGATCGGGGGCAAAGGGTAAGCGACCCCGTCTGCGCGACCTATGCCAATCAGCTCGTTCTCCACGTGGGTGGTTTTTGCCGCATAGAGCGCCCCTGCGACCAAAGGCCCCAGCCTTCAAGACGGAGGACCTCGTTGGCGCATCCTCCTAGACGACGTCCAGGTAGGGGGGCGCGACGATCGGGCCCTGCAGGGGGTTGCAGCCTTCAGTCGCTAGCGACCCTTTCTGGAGAAAGCTCTCGGCGCCGTGATGCAGCGGACTTGCGCTGTCGTCGGCGCGGCCTCTCAGTTGCAGACGACAAGCTTGCGAGGACGGGCTGGCCACTTGGTCATGGCAGCGGGGGTCCTGTACGCCATAGCAAGACCAGCAGATGTGATGAAATAATCGATGTTGTTGTAGGCCTCTCTCGCATTGCGACAGGTGCTTGCTTTCGCTGTATAGAGCAAAGTCCCAAGCGGGGGCTCTGGCAGCCCTAGAAGTTGATACTTCTGCAGCGAGATGCCCCAGCCCCCCGCGACGACGAACGGGTGTTCAAGGAGCGCAACAATTGCGCGAGTTTCAGATATCGGAAATGGTTGGCTGGGCTGCCAAATTTGCTGAGCTAGACGCAAACTCCGTATAAGCTGATCCCGCCAGCAGCCCTCTGGCAAGTCCCACGTCAACGTGTATGACCCCTGCCCAAGCTGGTGTAACCTCGTGCGAAACTGCCCCATCCTTGCCCAGGCAGGGATGTGCGAGCGTACAATGCTCAAACTCCAGCGCTTGGCATTCCTGTAAGCAGTCGCCTGCAGGCCGTGATAAGGGCTTGCCGCCCGTTGCGACGTGCCCATGACTGTGTTTGCGAGAGGCGTTTGGCATCCAGTCGCCGCTCCTGGGCGCATACAATATTAATCCACTCGCACCTTCGCTCAGCAAGGTCCTGCTATTGTCCCAACAGGAGCCTCTGAGGGTATCGACTGCAATATCTTTACGCTTGGAGCCCCTTGGAGCCCTAATAGGCTCCCCCTGTCGCCCACGCCGACTGACGGGCATCATCGGCTGACTGAAGGAGGCGAAAAGCAGCTGGCTGAGGGCGAGTTGGCGCTGCAGGCGCCACGGGCGGAGTTGCTGCCGTTGCAGGCGTAGGCGTCGGTGTAGGCGGTGCCAGAGTACCAATGCTGTCGACCTGCTGCTCACTGTTGCTGAGGGGCGCGTTGCCGTCCACGGGTGCAGTGCTTGTGCGCGTTACCAGCTGAACTGCTCGAAGCTGCTGTACTGCTGCCGAAACGTTGGCCAGACCAGTTGCAGCGGGGCCTGCGGCTTGCGCAACTGCAGCTTGCGCCTGTGCAGCTTCAGCTTGAACTGTCGAGGCGTCAGCCTCCAACTTGGTGGGCTGCATTTTGGCTTTGGTGAGGTCCACCTCGAGCTTGTCGACGTGGGCAGCCTTCTCGATCCGCTCCCCTTGCTTGTTTAGGCCATCCGTATTATATACTCCGCGAAAAAAAACCGATGGGCCCATCTTGGCACGGGAAGCAGACTCGGTTTTGTCCAGTTCGGTCTTGACGGCGATGACAAGGTCGTGGTCGTCACCGTAGATGCGCTCAGGGACCAGCCATTCACGCTTGGATTTGGCACCCTCGGTGTGCTAGCGAGAAGCGTCATTCCCATATTGAACAGAAGCCCGCACTGGGAGCAGCAGTAGGCTTGCCGTCCTCGTCGCGCCCACACGCCCAGCACGTGCTCCGCGTCGCAGAGCTGCTTCGGAGTCCGCAGTGCCTGGTGGCTCTGCACAGCCACACTTCGCCATCGGGCATGCCCGCTGCGCCTCCACCGAGGATGCTGCCGTGGTGAGCCAGCCGCCAGGAGCCGCCTGGCCGCAGCCTCCCGCAGCGCCTGCCGCGCGCTGGCGCGCGGCGCCCGCGGAGGCGGCGGTGCCACGCAGGCGACGGAGAGAGCCTCCTCGCACGGCCGCGCTCGGCGAGATCGCCCGCGCCCGCCGTCGGGCTGCAGGCTGGGGCCAGATGTCGCGCCCCGCGCTGGCCCCCGCGCGCGATGGAGCCCAAATGGCACCTTCGGCATCTCAAGGGGGACGGAAGGACTCAGGGAGGTAGCAATGGGCAAAGACTTTGCTGGGGAAGGGGGGGAGAAGAAAGAAAGGGGGGATGCGAGGACCCGCGGGAACTGAGGTACGGGGGAAAATACGGCGCGGACACAGTGCGGACACCATGTCAGCAAGATGATGAGGGCACAAAAGAGCGCCGCAAGACAATTCAACGCAGCAGGGCGGCGCGGAACCGATGGGCATTACAAGCACGTCTGAAGCAGCATAGTGCAGCATGGGGCAACAACGGTGGCAATTGCAATGGGGGGTAGAGGTCCACGGAACAGTGGTGGCGCTAAGGATAGCGGGACACTGGTGATAGCAAGGGCATCGGGTGTAATGCGGGCCTCGGGTGTAAACGCGCGCCTCGGGGGGATGCGGTGGAGACGCGGTAAAGGTAGCGTCTGCCCCCCCTTTTGCCGATCGCCCCCTCCCCCTTTCTCCCGTTCCCTCCCCTCTCGTGTCGCTCCTCCTCCTCCTCCTCCTCCTCCTCCTCCTCCTCCTCCTCCTCCTCCTCCCCCTCCTCCTCCTCCTCCCTCCTCCTCCTCCTCCTCCTCCTCCTCCGTCTTCTCCTCCTCCTCCTCCTTTTTCTTCTCCTCCTCCTCCTCCTCCTCCTCCTCCTCCTCCTCCTTCTCCTCGCCTCCCCCCTCCTCCCCGTTTCTCTCCCCCCCTCCCCTCCTCTCTTTCCTTCCTCCGCCTCCCCCTCTCCACGGAGGCGGCCAGGGGTCCTGAACTGGCTGGGGTCCCTGAAGATCTGTTAGGAGGCGGGGGTGAAACCACTCCTCCTCCTCCTCCTCCTCCTCCTCCTCCTCCTCCTCCTCCTCCTCCTCCTCCCCTCCTCCTCTTCCTCCTCCTCCCCTCCTCCTCCTCCCTCCCTCCTCCTATCCTCCTCCTCCTCCTCCTCCTCCTCTCCTCCTCCTCCTCCTCCTCCTCCTCCTCCTCCTCCTCCTCCTCCCTGGACCCCTGCAAGGGTGCGTCACTTCGGATCCGTTGATTTCTTTTTCCTGGGGGCCGAAGACGGCCCGCACGAGGCCGAACGTTACAAAATAGCCTGGCAAAAGGACCCGACCATAGGTGGAGCTCCCTATGTGGCTACGAATCGTGTGAGGAGTGTGCCGAAATGAGCGTGGCAGACGCATGTGGACGGTGCCACTGGGGCCTTCGGTGGAGTTCCGTGTGAAGGGTGTGCCGAAATGGATGTGGCGGACACATGCGGACGGTGCCGCTGGGGCCTTCGCTGAAGCTCACCATGTGGCGACGAAACGTGTGAGGGGTGTGCCGGCATGGGTGCGGCGGACGCATGTAGACGGTGCCACTAGGGCATTCGGTGGAGCTCCCTGCGGGGCCACGAAGCGTGTGAGGGGTGTGCCGAAATTGGTGCGGCGGACCCATGTGGACGGTGATACGGGGGCCTTCGGTGGAACTCCCAATGGGGCCACGAAACGTGTGAGGGGCGTGCCGACATGGGTACGGCGGACGCATGTGGACGGTGCCGCTAGGGCCTTAGATGGAGCCCCCTTTGGGGCCACGAAAAGTGTGAGGAGTGTGCCGAAATCTACGTGGCGGGCGCATGTGGTCGGTGCCGCTAGGCCTTGGATGAAGCTCCATATGGGGCCACGAAACGTGTGAGGGGTGTGCCGAAAGAGATGTGGCGGACGCAAGTGGGCGGTGCCTCTGAGGCCTTCGGTGGAGCTCCCAATGGGGCCACGAAACGTGTGACGGGCTTGCCGAAATTTATGTGGCGGACGCATGTGGACGGTGCCACTGGGGCCGTAGGTGGAGCTCCCTATGTGGCTACGAAGCGTTGAGGAGTGTGCCGAAATGAGTGTGGCGGACGCATGTGGACGGTGCCACTGGGGCCTTCGGTGGAGTTCCCATGGGTACACGAAATGTGTGAGGGGTGTGCCGACATGGATGTGGCGGACGCGTGTGGACGGTGCCACTGGCGCCTTCGGTGGAGCTCCCAAGGGGGGCCACGAAGCGTGTGAGGGATGCCGACATGAGTGTGGCCGACGCATGTGGACGGTGATGCTGGGGCCTTCGGTGGAGCTCCCTTTGGGGCCACGAAACGTGTGAGGGGTGTGCAGAAGTCGGTGTGGCCGACGCATGTGAACGGTGCCTCTGGGGCCTTCGATTGAGATCCCAAGGGGGGCCACGAAGCGTCTGAGGGGTGCCGACATGAGTGTGGCCGACGCATGTGGACGGTACTGCTGGGGCCTTCGATGGAGCTCCCTACGGGGCCACAAAACATGTGAGGGGTGTGCAGAAATCGGTGTGGCCGACGCATGTGAACGGTGCCACTGGGGCCTTCGATGGAGTTCCCAAGGGGGACCACGAAGCGTGTGAGGGGTGACGACATGAGTGTGGCCGACGCATGCGGACGGTGCTGCTTGGGCCTTCGGTGGAGCTCGCTACGGGGCCACAATACATGTGAGGGGTGTGCAGGAATCGGTGTGGCCGACGAATGTGAACGGTGCCACTGGAGCCTTCGGAGGACCTCCCTAAGTTACGTGGCTACGAAGCGTGTGAGGGGTGTGCCGGAATCGGTGCAGGGGACGCATGTGGACGGTGGCATTGGGGCCTTCGGTGGAGCTCCCTATGGGGCAATGAAACGTGTGAGAAGGAGGAGGAGGAGGAGGAGGAGGAGGAGGAGGAGGAGGAGGAGGAGGAGGAGGTGGAGGAGGAGGAGGAGGGGGAGAGGGAGGAGGAGGAGGAGAGGAAGGAGGGACGCGGGGACCCTCTCTTCAAAACGAGGACTCAACACCACAAGATGGTTGGGAAAACCTTCCCAAACCCAGAACCTTCGAACCTGCCCACCCGTGATGCTAACCGGAACAAATGCTGGGCTGGCTAAGACCCCCAGCTGGCTCCAACCTCCTCCCCTCCCCTCCTCCCCTCTCATCCTCCGCCGCTGGGGAATCCCAAAGGTACCGATACCGTTACTTCCTGGACCTCTCCCGGGGTGCGTTCTGATCAGAATTTCGAAGCGAATCCGACGGTGGTGACGAGGGCCTCCAAGGAGGCCCAACTAGGGGAAAACGAGGAAAGGGTCCAGGTATGGGCCTATAGGTACCTTTTCCTCCTCCGAGCCTCCCCGCTCCCCGAAGTCCTCCCCCTCCCCCTTCTGCCTGCCCCGCCCCCCCCTCCGCTCTCCAACCGCCCGCGTGGCCGGCCACACGCGGCGCGGCCAGGCCCCCGCTGGGCGCGCACGCCTCGCCAGTGAGCAGCCGCCGCAAGAACACGGCGTCCCCCGTCGAGAGGAACTGCCGGAGGCGTGAAACGGACTGGGTCCCAGCACACTCCTCCTTCTCCTCCTCCTCCTCCTCCTCCTCCTCCTCCTCCTCCTCCTCCTCCTCCTCCTCCTCCTCCTCCTCCTCCCTCCTCCTCCCTCCCCCTCCTCTTCCTCCAACTCCTCCTCCTCCTCATCTCCTCCTCCTCCTCCCCTCCTCCTCCTCCTCTCCTCCTCCTCCTCCTCCTCTCCCCTCCCTCCCCTCCTCCTCCTCCTCCTCCTCCTCCTCCTCCTCCTCCTCCTCCTCCTCCCTCCTCCTCCGCCCCTCCTCTCCCCCCCTCCTCCTCCTACTCCTCCTCCTCCTTCTCCTCCTCCTCCTCCTCTTCGTCTCCTCCCCTCTCCTCCTCTTCTCCTCCTCCTCCTTCTTCCTCCTCCTCCTCCTCTCCTCATCTCCTCTTCTCTCCTTCTCCTCCTCCTCCTCTCCTCCTCCTCCTCTCCTCCTCCTCCTCCACCTCATCCTGCTTTCCTCCTCCTCCTCCTCCTCCTCCTCATCCTCCTCTTCCTCTCTTCTCCTCCTCCTCCTCCTCCTCCTCCTCCTCCTCCTCCTCCTCCTCCTCCCCTATTCTCTTCCTCCTCCTCCTCCTCCTCCTCCTCCGCCTCCTCCTTCTCCCCCCTCCTCCTCCTCCTCCTCCTCCCTCCTCCCCCTCCTCCTCCTCCGCCCCCTCCTCTTCCTCCTTCCCCCTCACCTCCTCCTCCTCCTCCTCCTCCTCCTCCTCCCTCCTCCTCCTCCTCCTCTCCTCCTTCCTCCTCTCCTCCTCCTCCTCTCTCCCCTCCTCTCCTCCTCCTCCCTCCTCTCCTCCTCCTCCTCCTCCTCCTCCTCCTCCTCCTCCTCCTCCTCCTCCTCCTCCGCCCCCTCCTCCTCCTCCTCCTCCTCCTCCTCCTCACAAGACACAAGACACAACATGAAGGGTCGGCGAGCACAACACGAATTGCCAGCAAAACGTGAGGACAGCTCAAACCTACCTTAAAGAGGAGAAGAGAGAGAGAGAGAGAGAGAGAGAGAGAGAGAGAGAGAGAAAGAGAGAGAGAGAGAGAGAAAGAGAGAGAGAGAGATAGTGCAGAGGCTGTGGATGCCTCTGGGCCCGAGGCTGTGGATGCCTCTAGGCTGACTGACCTAAAGGGTGGTCAGTATGTCCACACTAGGGCGGGTATGGTCCTCCCCCCCGCCCCCACTCCGCCTCCACCCACAAGGGCGAATACCTGCGCTAGGTGGGCAGGTGCTGAGCTTGGTTCAGCTCCTTTGCACCCTGGCTGAGGGAGGCTTGACCTAAACAGCGAAGAACCCAACAGCTATAGATAGGGATGATAGCTGAAGTTACATAGAGGACCAAAACTTCGCTGTTTAGGGACATGCCTGGGATCAGTTCCGCCAGGCATCAAGGTTAAAGCACATCCTTATGAGCATGTGCCCCCTCCTCCCCCCTCGTCTCGTCCCCTATCGCCATTGGCGTCGTCGTTACTCCACCTCCAACTCCCAGCGGGGAGAATGTGGTGGAGGGCGAATTGGGGAACAGAGGGGATAGATAGAGAGGAGGATAAATAAAGGAAAAGGGGTTAAGTTGGGAGGCGCCGCGCTGGGCCTATGAGGTAGCTGGCCACCTCTCAACACTACGAGACCCAGCGCCGTTACGACAAAATGTCGAGATTGCATCCTCGAGCATCCCCCACCCACCCCTTATATGACCCCCCACTCGCCCCAACAAGATGTCCTGTCCTCAAATGCTGGCTGATCCAGCATCGCGACAGAAGCGAGGAGAGGGGCGGAAGGGGAGAACATGTGGGATAGAAATGGAGGGATAATGAGAGTGAGGAGGCCTGCTATGGATTGCACGCTGCAGCGATATCACCATGCCTGACGCTACGTCATGCCTCCCTCATTCACATCGTACACACGCATATTGAGTGATGGCAACTGCCTACACATGTGGCCTGACGTGCAGCAGCTCAGTACTTTCACACCGTAACCTTCGCAGATGAAGAACTTGAAAGGGCCTTGCTGCAGCCCAGCATCTCTTGCAAAACCATGACCTCATTTTCTTCGACCGTAAAAGTAATGACATCCAATACTTGGCAGCCCTGGCAAGCTGCTGGCCCAACTCGATGCATGTAAGAATCCAGATCCACGGGCATGTCGTAGTTGATGACGTAACACGTGGGCTTGGCGAATGAAACACCCGTGCTATGGCCCAACACTTTGAAGCCCGTGTAGCTGTTATTTGTCTCCTCCTCCATCTCTGCGGAAGCGTCCGAGGAGGAGTCCGAAACCAGATCGGTGGCACTACCCACCTCGCACAGGCCCTCTGGAGCGAAGCCGCTGCGTTCTAGCAATCCCTGCAAAGCTAGGGCTCTTGGCCTAGACCGCGTATAGATGAAGAACTGCCCTGCCTCCGATTTGCGAAGAATGTCGATCAGCTGTCTATTCTTTCCACTTGCGGAGATCATCACGTAGTGCGGCATGTCTGCTGTAGTCGAAGCGTCGCTCTTGAAGAGGCCCTCGTCCCGCTGCACGAAGGAGTCTTGCATCCCCTCGGAAACGATGTTATCTGATGCCTGGTGCACCTCCTGTTGGACGACGTGCTGGCCCTTCGTGCTCAAAGAGAGGACGTCGGCACGCGTCTCCATGGTGATATCTTGGAGCTCATACAGACGGGCCATGATCACATCATAAATAGGAGGCTCTGTCTCCTCCGTCTGGGTACCCGCGGTGTCAAAGATGACCGCCTCCTGCTTGACCAAGGTGGCAGCCTCAATCCCAATGTGGGCGCCGCCTGCCACCTCGACTACGTCTTCACCTCCACTCGATTCTGAAGTAGCACGAGTGGAATGGACCTGGCTGCCCATGTGGCCCCGCTGGGCCCATTGCTTTTTGGCCCTCCATTTGCCCTGACCTTTGATGTCAGATGCCACCTCGCCCGTGAAAAGCCCAACGCTGGCATGGGTAATGTGGCGGACCAAGTTGTACGCGTAGTCGATCTTGATCAGTTGAGACTTGCAAGCCGGGGACAAGCAATTTGAATTCCGAGCCGCACTCGCCAGGCCTTCGTAGTGTTGGCCACTTGCCTGGGAGAGCATTTCCAAAAGATCATCCCGCAGAGAGTACACTAAAGAGTGCTTTTGCATGGCTCGGAAAAGAAGAAGGCAATACACCTGCTGCCGCTTGAGCCCAAATGGCTACGGACCTCCTCCTCCTCCTCCTCCTCCTCCTCCTCCTCCTCCTCCTCCTCCTCCTCCTCTTCCTCCTCCTCCACCTCCTCCTCCTCTTCGTCCTCCTCTCCCTCCTCCTCCTCCTCCTCCTCCTCCTCCTCCCTCCTCCTTCTCCGTCTCCTCCTCTCCTCCTCCTCCTCCTCCTCCTCCTCCTCCTCCTCCTCCCCTCCTCCTCCTCATCATCATCATCATCATCATCATCATCATCATCATCATCATCATCATCATCATCATCATCATCATCATCATCATCATCATCCGCCAATTCGTCTCCTTAGAAATATATTATCCCTGTCGCACCCCGAGGCTAGTTTTTAGGGCGGGCCTGGCGTTTTGGCTGAGACCTCCTCACCATGTAGGACCCTGAAGTTGCAAGAATGGCAACAGTTTCAAATATGGAGGGCGGCTCGTTATCAACATGTAGCTCTCGCCTTAGCGCTGCGCACATTCGTTGCAGAAAATGCAAGGGCTTCACATATGGAGGGTGGGTAGTTTTCAAAATGTGGCTCTCGCCTTAGCGCCACCCGCATTCGTTTAAACAGTTCAAGAGTTTCACAGATTTAGGGCGCGTCGTTTTCAAAATGTGGCTCTCGCTTCAGCGCCGCGCGCACTCGTTGTTGCAAAAGTGTCACGCGTTGAGGGCGGTTACTTTTCAACATGTGGCTCTCGCTTTAGCGCCGCGCACACTCGTTTTGCAACTGTGCAAGAACTTCACGGGTTCCCAGGACCAACGTACCAGAAAGTGCGTTTTTGAAGGATTCAGGACTATGAGGGTGCAACAGTTATGTTGATTCGCAGTGTTGACATCGCAGTAATGACATTCTGGCAAGATTCCACATCGTCAAGACGCAAAAGTCAGGTTGATCCGTGGCGTTGAAATCCAGATAATACTCTTTTGGCATGATTCAAGATCTTCAAACAGTTGTCTCCCGACAAGGCAAATCCCTCAGGGGAAATGAACCGTTGTATGGAGGGAGGGTTTATTCCAACATCATCGATGACTCTTGGGTGTACACTGGTCCTCCTCCTCCTCCGCCTCCTCCTCCCCCTCCTTCCTCCTCCCCCTCCTCCTCCTCCTCTCTCCTCCCCTGAACGAAGGATTGCAAAAAAAAACCCAGGATTGCAAAAAAAAAAAACGCAATCCTCCTCCCCAACGCAACCCGAAGTCCCAAACTTTCGGGTCGTGCGGCGCACGGGCTCCCATGCTCTCGGAGAGGGCTGGGGCCCAGGGTTTTTGTGTCGGTAGAGCTCGGCTGTCCCTCCGGTGCCACGCTCGAAGAGGGCGGGCGAATTTCCGCTCGGTTTTTTTTAAACAACCAGGCGACGACACAGTCTGTGTAGACGACGTGCGTGTCGCCCCCGCTGTCCTTCGTAGAAGAAGGTGCAGGAGCGTTCTGCGCAGAATCTGAAGACAGCTAAGAAATGCCTGGATCATACTGTCGAGCGTGCCCGCTGGAGGATGGCGCGTCCTGCGGGCAGGATCCTGGAGGATGTCTTGAGCGAACCGCTTGTTCTGCAAAACTTGAATGGCCTGGGGGCCCCAAGATGCCCAGGTGATTCTGGGAGCGCGGAACCACTGTAATTTACAAGCGATCGATGCCATGGGAGCACGGACGCCGCATATTTTACAAGGGATCCTGGCCCTGGGAGCGCGGACGCAGCGTAATCCCACCAGCCTTTCAAGTCGTGAGCGGTTCAGAGCGTTTCCTCTTCCGACCCCCCTTCTTCCCATTCGCCCAGGAGCTTATCACTGTACCGTATCGAGAAGCACGCCCTCCCCCAGGCGACCGGCAGACCAATGACAACCCTCCACCATCCCTGACGAAAACTGTACAAATACACTTTGGGGCAAAATCTTGGGCCATGCTCGTGGGCCCGTGAGCATTTCGTACCGTTCTGAACCATCCGGGTCGCACCACGTTGCGGCAGAACGGCCGCCTGCCTGAGCCAACCTTGAACCAGCACTGTGCCCCCGAAAGGGATGCCCATTGAGAATGAACATGTCGTGCAACGTGTTGCGGGAACGACCAGAAAGAAGCAGGCGCTCGCTACAGCTGTCATCCGAGCATGTCGGCCCGGAGAAATCGGCTGTCCAGTCCACACCCAGATCGCGAGAAACAGGTCTTAACCGTCCTTTCTTCGTACTCGAGGCGAGCCTGCATTCTCTGTCATTCCACAAGATGGTCGGCCGAACCGTGTCGACACCGCGACAGGTGCAGGTTGGTCGCGTGATGTTCCAGTTGCGCTGGTGCAGGTGCCCTCTGACGCCTCCACACTCACGTTCAGCATGCAGAGCTTGATGAGCACATGCAGACGAGGTTCGAACTTACCGCATCGATTTCGATTCAGTGTGGGATGTGCTGTTCGTTGCTAGTGGTCTAGGCCACGAGAGCGCGAGCAGAGGCCTGGTGGGACATAGTCGAGCAGATGTAGAAAATTGGATGCGCGCCATTAGCATTATTGGCTTTCACACTGTTCAGCCCTGGGCCGTCGCGTATACGGATCGCACGCACGAGAGTGCCTCAGGATCTACGAGTCTGAGGGCAGCCGACGACCCAGCCAGCGTTCATAAACAATGCCTACAGCATGCCTGGCTTCACTTGTCCATACTGGTGCGAGGCTGTTCATATTATATGCTGTGGTTGCCATCATGGTGCCGGGTCGTCCTCGGTACCGCTGGCACATTTCTACGCATGAGGAGTGGAGCCAAAGCGGCCCGACGCATCGACCCAATGAAATTAAACGATTTGTGACGAGTCGAGTTACTCATGCTTCCGCGAGAAGTTCTGATGACACGTGGGCGCCAACACTCGCGCAGGCCACTGTGGTATGCCGTCACCGACATGGTTTACGCAGAATACCAGCTCGCCGCATCCTTCGCCCAGTGCCAATTCGGGGCCCCTGCGACCCAACATGTGCGATATCGACACGGGTGACGTGTCATCGTGCATGGAGGGTTTGAATTTGCACCAGCAAGTGCAGCCTTGGTCCCAACGCAACGTGTGCAATGCTTTCACTCTTACACTTTGTTGTGCACGCCTGGCTTCCTTCGAGTAGAACACACTCTCTGCTTGTACAGGGCGCAGTGCATAGTAGCCACCCTTGACAATTCACGAGTACGACTCTTGACGACGCAAGCGAGAGCATCAACAGGACCCCGAAGGACTGCATCCCGAGACTCCACACACACATCTTGGTTGGGCGCTTGCCGTCATTCTTGCAGGACCCAAAGATTTGACAAAGGCCCCACCGTTCAGCCAGATCGGTGCGTGCCGTGAGGAGAGGGGAGTGTGGCGCGACTGGATCGACACGGCTTGAGCCAAGCCGTGGGAGTTCTAGCTGTGCGTGATGGTCGTCCTGTCCTCGACAGGGTGATAGCCAAGGCTGGGGTCGCAGAGGCCTCACGCACAAGCTCGCTTAGCAGTGGAGCTGGGCAAAGTGGATAACACAGTTCAGGATCCCTCGGCGCAGACGAAGAACTCACGGAGTACCCTGACGGCCCCCGGGGACTCCGGCACGTGGGCCACGCCGCTGGACAGAGCCGCGACGTGCCAGAGCAGCGCCGACGACCTCACAGCTGGCCGGTCAACAACGGAAGGTGAGCCTCCTCCGTCTTGCCGGGCACGCTGCGGGCGGCCACGCACCGAATTTTCATGGCGGTTGCACAGACCCCGACGAGAGCAGGTCAGGAGGAAAGCCAGGCGAGCGCCGTCGCCGAGCGGGAGGACGACGAGGACGAGCAGGAGCGCCCACCTCCGCTGTGTCTTGGTGTCCGCGGGCCCACGAGCGGGTCGGCAGACCTCGCAACTTTGTGTGGCGTCTGGCACGGACTCGAACTCGGGCCAGCGACGAGGACAGGAGGACGAGCAGGAGAGGGATGAGAAGGGGTAGGAGACGAGTGTACGAGGGGATGTCAGCTCCATCCTGCCACTCTCCTTGCCTTCCAGGGCGGGGCGGCGGGGCGGCGGTGGGTGCTCCTTGCGTGACAAGGGGGAGGAGGACGAGCTGGAGGGTGGCTTGCGAAGGACGAGCAGGAGGGAAAGCGTAGGAGGGCCAGCGCCGACGAGGAGTGGCAGGAGGAGGACGAGAGGGGGGAGGAGAGGCCGGGATAGAGGACTACCATGGGGGGAAAGGGGCGAGCCTTGTCGCCCAGCGTCGCGGCGTAGCTCATGGCCTCGGCCTCTGCAGCCTGCGACTTGAAGCGCTGGCGGGCCTACGGGGGGAAAGAGGGCGGGGGGGGGGAGGCGAGGATGGCGGCTCCGGGAGGAGGAGGAGGAGGAGGAGGAGGAGGAGGAGCAGGAGGAGGAGCAGGAGGCACGGCAGCACGTGCAGAGGAGCACGACCTCCAAGGCCCCTTTGCGAGGCCTCCGAGAGAGACACCCCTGGAGGCCCGCAGTGAGGCCCCACAAGAAGTCCCAAGAGAAGTCATCCTCGTCCTCCTCCTCCTCTCCTCCTCCTCCTCCTCCTCCTCCTCCTCCCTTCCTCCCCCTCCTCCTCCTCCTCCTCCTCCTCCTCCTCCTCCTCCTCCTCCTCCTCCTGCTCCCAAGAGGCAGCGCAGCCAAGACGCAGTGCCATCGCCAAGCGACTCCACACCGCCGCAGCGACGCCTGCCACGGACGCGGCACCGTGTTCCCAGCAGCGCCCCTGGTAGCTGCGGAGAGCCGCACGGCGCGCATGACCTATGAGCATGAGAGGGGATACTCAAGCCCTCCACCTCCTCAACCTCCTTCACGTCCCCCATCCCCGAGAACCCCGACGGCGGGTGCGGCAGTCGGGCAGCGGCGTGAGGCCGCCGGGCAGCCCGCCAGCCCTCCGGGCAGCCGCTGGCAGCCCGAGCGGTGCCCGGAGCTCCCCGTCTCCGTTCGCGCGCGTGTCTGCATTTTCGGCGACAGTGGGCATGATACAGTCGGACTTCATTGGACAGGACGCGCGGGAGGACACAAGGCCCTTCCGAGGGCCACAACGCCGCAGGAGTGTGAGAAGGCACGTGTCGCGAGGTACAGGACACGAGGGTACCCTTGAGCTGGCAGGGTCGACCTACTAATCCGGGCCGACTGTGGGGGGAGGGGGGGGGGAGGGAGCAGGGGGGGGATAGAATGTAACGCCTCCCCCCCGCCGTGCGCACGGCGGCAGTGCCCGGAGTGCACGGGGGGGGCGAGGGGCGTTACGTAGGGGGGGAGGGTGGGCCAGGGGCTAGAATGCCCATTATGCCCCAAGCAATAAAGAAACACGCTCATCCCTTTTGTGGATGAATCTCTCAAGCTCTCCGCCGCCTCTGGCGGTGTGTGCGTTGCGAGCAGGAATGCAGCAAGGCCACAGGAAAGCGCGGCACCGCACACGTGACAAATGTTAACGAGCAAGACCACAGCAAAGCCCCAGGAGAGCGAGGTAGTGACAGCGTAGCTCAACATCCCTGGCGCCGGCCATCCCGGGATTTCCTCAGAGACCCATCGGGAGCCGAAGAAGCACAAGGGCGTGACGTCAAGACAGTCTTGTACGTTTTCACTGGCCCGGGCCTCGCGGGTATCTTTGGGAAGCGCTGGGGACCTCCGAGCAATCTTGGGGCCTCCTTGGGGCCTCTGGGAGCCATGCTGAAGGCCATCTTGGGCCAACATGGCCCATCTGGCGCCATCTTTGAGGCATGCCTTGTCTGGCACTGCTGGGTCCAAGACGGACCACTCGGGCAACGCGGTGCTGCGATTTGCGCCAGTGAGCGGTCGATACACCATATTAGGGGAGTTCCTCAGACCCAACTTCGGCGGATCGCTGACTGCAAGGACGACATGTTTCGTCTTGAAGGCAACAGACGGCGCCTTCCTGCAAAAACGAGCAACATGTTGGATCCTTTGCGGCCTCAAAGATAGCCCCAAAACGACCATATCTTTCTCGCACCATCATCCTCTTGTTCACCGGAGGCTCCACAGACAGTCTCGAAGATGCGCCTGAGAGGCTCCCAAGACGACCCAAGACGCCCCCAAGGGACTCCAAGAGGCGTAGCCAAGAGGCCCATCAGACAACCTAAGGGGCACCTGAGACAGCCTAAGAGGCCTCTGGGGTTTCCGAGACGGCCTGAAAAGTCTTCAGGATATCAGGAATCACCCCATAAGCGCCCGACAAACTCCCAGGAGGAGGCGACTCCAACGCTCCCCCGAGTCCCCACAAAGGATCCTTTCACGACGGGTCACAAAGGCATGCCATGTTCTCTGGCTCACGCCAGACCAGACCACACAAGGCGACCAAATCATGGTGGGCCGCTCGGGCACAAACCAATAAAAGCGGAATATATCAAAACAAACCGGACCGAAGGAGAGTTAGATATAATCGTGAGCACCAGGAGAGAATGAGCATGTAGATGGAAAAGCGAAGGCCAAGGAAGGGCACAAAGGCGAGGATGAGGTCAAGAGCATAATGAGTAGACGTACTTCTTTAGCGCACCCAAATGCCCGAAATGAGTTTGAAGTAAAACCTGATCAAACAGGACCAGTACGACAAGACTCCCCAATCTCCCAGCACGCGACCAGACGAGACAAGAGCAACCAGGCAGCTAGCACACGCAGACATGTAAGCGAGACCCGCCCAGTGATAAAGGGGTTTGAGGGGCCAGGAGTCCCATGGCCCATAAGGTTTGCTTACTTCCTGTCGTGGTCAGCCCAAACTGGGCATCCACCAGAGGGCTGCGGGAGGCCTGCTTCGAGAGCGCAAAGGGAAAGACGTCATGCACATGCGATGGGCCTGCGAATGATATATTTCACTAGATCACACATCTCGTGTACACCGGCGAGGTGAGAACGAACGGAGTGGAGATGGGGGAGGAAGGGTGGCGGAGCGCATAAGTGGGTAGCGAGAGTCAATAGGGGAAGAATCGGATACGAGAGGCACAATAGCGGCACCCAGGATCGGAAGAGTGGGCCAGGCGAGAGGAGAGAAGAAAAGAGGAGGACACCAGGAAGGGGTGCGTCAGCGCAATCTCTCAGATCCCCCTGGAGACGTGTCAGCTGGCGGCATGCTGACCTTAGGTGGGCCGTCGGGATCGAGCGGCACCTCCAGTTGTTCACTGTGCCCAATCGCCCACTCGGCAGCGAGGGCATATGCTGCTGTGGTGAGATACGCACAATAATAGAAAGCATCGGCCTGTGCAGCCGGGTCGGAGGCTATAGCCTCGACGCCGAAGGCTAAGCCCTGTGCGACTCTCGCGGCAGCAAAGAGCGGCCTCTGCGCCGCCACCCAGAGCCCCGCAGCAAGGTGCCGCAGCGCCCAACAGCGGTGCGCAGAGAGATCGCGAGGCCGCGAGGTTGCAGTGCGGAATGTCTGCACCCCGCTGAAGATGAACCAGGCGGCCAGGACGTGCACGCCACCGAGGTTAAAGGGGGGCAGGATGCCCCCCAGATGGCCTGCGTTGAACCCGTCCGCGGCCTCAGCCAGGCCGCCGCCGTGGCCTGCGAAGTCGACCAGATCGGCGTACAACTTGTTGGTATCGATGATGGCGTATCCCACCATGAGCACCGCGGCAGCAACCAGCATGACGCGGCCCACGATCCGGTGCACAGCCCCGCCTGCAGCGGCCCGCGCCTCTGGACTCAACTGCAGTGGCGCCAGGAGCGCCCAGACAGCTCCAGGCAGCGCGTGTGTAAGCCCCGTGGTGGGGCCCAGCGCGTTGTACTTGAGCAGGATGGATGCAGGCGCAAAGAAGCCGAAGTACGCCTCATATAGCTCCCCCACCAACGCATCGCGGGCCGCGCTGGAGCCAATCCTGGGGAAACCAACGGTACCGATACCGCCACTCCCCGGACCGCGTTCTGACCAGGATTTCGAGGCGAATTCAGCGGTGGCGACGAGGGCCTCCCAGGAGGTCCAGAAAGGGGAAAACGAGGGAAAGGTAGCGGTATGGGTACCTTTACCTCCTCTGACATCCACGCGCTGCCAGGCAGCGCCAGCACCCAGATCCCCATGAATGCCGCGCTGAGCGCCACCGCGCCAAAGAGCATCGGATGCTCGGGCCTGCCCGAGGGGCGCGGCCCCTCCTCTCGGGGGCGCGCAAACATGGATTAGCGATCCATGGATCTGGCGCGCGGTCGCCAGATCCATGCATCGGAGGAGGTGCCCTCCCCAAAATGCGGCCAGTGCCGCCTCGCTCGGCGGCGGAAATCCGCGACTCCCCATGGAAAGGAGACCCGCCGCTAATCCACGCCCCCTTAATCCATGTTTTGGAGGCCTGGAAATGGGCACTAACACCAACACAGGGGGCTGCCTACGCAGGGGGAAGCTGATCCTGGATTTCGGTGTCCTTAGTCATATTTCGGTCGCCACGGAAGCCAGAATACTACCACCACCACCACCACCACCGAGATCGGGATCGTCTTCCCTCGGTGGAGGCACACCGCCGATATTGGTGCTGGTGTCAACTTGGGGGTCCCATCACCGTGTGGTGACAAACCCGGCGGTGACCTCGAAATCCCCAAAGACCTCACCGCAGGGTCTGTCACCACACGGTTTTGGGACCCTGGAAGCCCCGGTCGCCCGAGACGTCCTCCGAGCGCGGCCCGAGTCCCAAAACCGTGCGGTGACCCCGAATCCCCACCGACTCACCACACGGTGCGGTCACCACCCCGTTTGGGGGCCCCCGATCAACCTCTCAGCCTGCGAATGTTTGGGATCGCCCGGTCCTCGGCGGCCGATCGCCCCGCGTCCGCCCCCCGGCGCGTGGCCGCTGGAGCCCCGCGGCGGCGGCGGCGGCCCTGCGCGAGGGCCACGCCCGCGGCGGGCGCGGCGGCCGCCGCCGCGGGCCGTGCAGCAGCGCCCCTGCGGCGGAGAGGGGCGGCCGGGCACCCTCCACCTCCTCCTCCTCCTCCTCCTCCTCCTCCTCCTCCTCCTCCTCCTCCTCCTTTTCCTCCTCCTGGTCGAGGCCCGGGAGTGCCTCGGCCAGCCTGGCCCTGGCAAGGCACGGCGGTGGCGTATAGACGCCCTCTGCCGACACTAGGACGTTGCCCGCGGCGCGCTCGCCTCGACGCGGCCAGCAACTCACGATGGCTCGGGGAAAAAACAGATTTAGGTCGGGCGTGTCCTCCTACAGGGGGAATTGCTCAAAAAGAGTAGCTAACGAAATAGTCTGGGGACGATGTTCCAATATGTTTGTTTGCTGTTGTTGTTGCATTGTTTTGAAACTATGATTTGTTCAAAAAATAGCCAAACCATAGTCAGGGGCGATGATCAAATATTTGTTGGTTGATATCGAATTCATGTTTGAACTATGCTTCATCTCCCGTCCCAAATCCACCTGTACGGGGACACGCCCGACCCAAAACAGCTGGCAGAAGCTGAATCTTTCGGAGGCCCGCGCGGATGTCCCAGATCGGCGCTGGGACCCCCCTCCCCGGCGCGGGGAGCGCGCCAGCAGCGGCAATGGAGGCGCCGCCAGGGGGCTCCAGCGCCGATCTGAGAAGTCCGCGCGGACCTCCGAAAAAAAGGTTACGTTCATGTGGGCGATTCCGGAAGCCCTGTACCCAAAAATGTTTTCATCTCTTGGGGGCGCATGTTTTACCTCCGCCGCCTTCCGACGAGCTTCCGCCAGCGGAGAGGCGGCCGTTTTTTTACTGCCGCCAACTTTCCGCCGCCCTTCCGCCGCGGGAGAAATGATAACCCCTCCGATCCTCGAAGGCAAGGTCCTTTTTGGAACGCCTCCTGTGGTGTATGACATGCTTCAGGGTATGTGCCTGAACTGTCTCTGGCACACCCTGAAAAATCATCCTGGCGAAGGACCCAACCATATGCAGTTGTGAGTACCGCAATTGTGAATATCTTCTTTGGTGGTGCCCACGAACCGCATGCCGAAATGTGGCGGGGTACACAACACGAAGGAAAACGAGTGGTCGAATTACCAGAGACTGGGCGCGGGTGAATTGGAGCGCGAGTGAGTCTAAGTCCGCATGAGTCTGCGCGCGAGCGAATATAGTTGCACGAATGCGATCGTGGCGACGCCTCGTGTAAATGTATATGAATGTGAACGGTTAGGGTACGCCTGTCTGCGCGCTCGCGACGCTGAGCGTGGCCGCCGCAGAAGGCTTCCGCGGGAACCCCGGCGGCAGCGCCCGCGCGCCGCGACTCCCGCGTCGGCGCGCCCCTCGCGAGGATAGCGCCCGCTTCCTCCCTTTCTTTCCCCCCTCTTCGCCCGCGCACTCCAAAACCCAAAGCTGCGGGCGCAGCGCGGCGCGGAGCCCCCGCGACGCGCGCCGGTCGCCCCGGAGGGGCCCCAGCGACGCGCGCGAGTCCTCCGCTGCGCGGAGCAAAAAGAGCTAGCTAGCTAGCTAGCTGGCTGGCTGATAGCGGGCAAGGCTCTGACCGCTGGGCAGAGCGACGACGGGCGAGCGAGGCGCAGGGAAGAACGCAGCGCGGAATTCCCGCGACGCGCGCCAGTCGCCCCGGGAGGGCCCCAGAGACGCGCACGGGTCGTCCGCGGCGCGAGGCCAAACGTTTAGTTGGGCAGTCGAGAGAAGGCGCGGCTCGGGGGGGGCGCTCCTCAGGTCAGGCCTCGCGGATAAACTCGGTGAAGCCGAGCTCCCTGGCGAGGGCCGTCGCCCCCCTCCTGCACTGCTTCGTGCGCGCCGCAAACTGCTCCAGCTGCTTCCGCAAGCCCTCTGGCGGCCCTGCCAGGAAGAACTCGATGCGCGGCGCCCGCATGAGCAGGAGGTCCTCGTTGCGCGTGGCGCGCGAAAGCAGCGCATAGAGCTCCAGCCACCAGTCGTCGTCCTCCTACTTGCCGTTCCCGACCTCGTGGCGGCCGCAGTCCAGGATCACGCCTGGGCGACGTCGGCCGAGGGAGCAGCGCGCAGGACAGCCGACGGCCCAGGGCGAGAGTCCAGAGGACCGAGAGATGGTCCGGCTGCAGACCGCTCGCGCCCAGTAGGTTCGGCTGAGGGCGTGCCGAAACGTGTGAGGGGTGTGCCGACATGGGTGTGGGGGACGCATGCGGGCAATGACACTGGGGCCTTCGGTGGAGCTCCCTATGGGGCAACGAAACGTGTGAGGGGTGTGCCGAACTGGGTGTGGGGGGCGCATGCGGGCGGTGGCACTGGGGCCTTCGGTGGAGCTCCCTGTGCGGCCACGAAACGTGTGAGAAGTGTGCCGGAATGGGTGTGGGGGGCGCATGCGGGCGGCGGCACTGGGGCCTTTGGTGGAGCTCCCTGTGAGGCCACGAAACGTGTGAGGGGTGTGCCGGAATGGGCGTGGGGGACGCATGCGGGCGGTGGCACTGGGGCCTTCGGTGGAACTCCCTGTGAGGCCACGAAACGTATGAGGGGGGGGCCGGAATGGGTGTGGGGGGGGCGCATGCGGGCGGTGGCACTGGGGCCTTCGGTGGAGCTCCAGATGGGGCCACGAAGCGTGTGAGGAGTGTGCCGAAATGGGTGTGGGGGACGCATGCGGGCGGTGGCACTGGGGCCTTCGGTGGGGCTCCCTATGGGGCCGCGAAACGAGTGAGGGGTGTGCCGGGATGGGCGTGGGGGACGCATGCGGGCGCTGGCACTGGGGCCTTCGGTGGAACTCCCTATGGGGCCGCGAAACGTGTGAGGAGTGTGCCGGAATGGGTGTGGCGGACGCATGCGGGCGGTGGCACTGGGGCCTTCGGTGGAGCTCCATATGGGGCCACGAAACGTGTGAGGGGTGTGCCGAACTGGGTGTGGGGGACGCATGCGGGCGGTGGCACTGGGGCCTTCGGTGGAGCTCCCTGTGCGGCCACGAAACGTGTGAGGAGTGTGCCGACATGGGTGTGGGGGACGCATGCGGGCGGTGGCACTGGGGCCTTCGGTGGAGCTCCATATGGGGCCACGAAACGTGTGAGGGGTGTGCCGACATGGGTGATGATGCTGGTGATGATGACGGTCGTGATGATAATGATGACGATGACGATGACGATGATGATGATGATGATGATGATGATGATGATGATGATGATGATGATGATGATGATGATGCTGATGATGCTGATGCTGATGCTGATGCTGATGCTGATGCTGATGATGGTGATGATGACGATGACGATGACGATGATAGATGATGATATGATGATGATGATGATGATGATGATGATGATGATGATGATGAGATGATGACGGGAGGAGAGAAGGAAGGAGGAGGAGGAGGAGGAGGAGGAGGAGGAGAAAGAGGAGGAGGAGGAGGAGGAGGGAAAGGAGGAGGAAGAGGAGGAGGAGGAGGAGGAGGAGGAGGAGAGGAGGAGGAGAGGAACGTGGGGCGACGTCTCTGCAAAACGAGGACCCAACACCACAGGATGGTTGGGGAAAAAACATCGCGCCCTGAGGGCGCCCCGGCCGCCCGCGGCCCTCCCCCCCTCCCTCCTGGCCGTTCGCCTCGTCTCTGTGCCGAAGACGTCTTGATGGGCCTGTTTTCCACCACCACCACCACCATAAGTTGGAGGGGGGAGGAGGAGGAGGAGGAGGAGGAGGAGGAGGAGGAGGAGGAGGAGGAGGAGGAGGAGGAGGAGGAGGGGATGGAGAGGAGGAGGAGGAGGAGGACGATGAGGAGGAGGAGGACGAGGAGGAGGAGGAGGAGGAGGAGGACACCCTCCAACTAATGGTAGTGGTGGTGGAAGACAGGCCCAGCACGTCTCTGTGCCGGAAGGGATGACAACTCCTTCGATCCTCGAGGGCAGGGCCGTTTATGCAACGCCCCGTGTCATCACTGGCTCCCCGAATGACCGAGCGAGCCGCGGCACCGCGCACCAGCGGGGCGGCTCGGGAGCGGGCGCCTGGCCTGCCACCCTCGGCGCAGCAGCGGCGGCGCCGCGCGCCGGTGGCGGCATGAGCAACGGGCGGGCGGCGGGGGCCACGGTCATGTCCGTGGCTCCTCGCCTCAGGGGGGGTGGGCTGGCCTGGCGTGCTGGAGCTGGGGCCAAGCTTGGCTGCGGAGAGGGCGCCGGGATGCCCTCCTCGAGGTTCGAAGTTCGAGGTCTCCGGGTACGTTCGTCAGCCTGCGGCGGTTTTCCTGCTCGGGGTGCGTTCCAGCGGCTGCGCCTCGCCGAGGGCGTCCTGGGGGGTCCAGGATCGTCCCGAACGGCCGCCGGAGAGCCGATCTATGGCCCACAAGGCTCAGGGGGCTGGGTCGTACCCCCCACCGCGCCCCCACCACGCCCCGGCATCCTCATTCATGGAAAGCTCAATTTGTGGGCCCCCCCACACGAGAATTTGTGGCCCCACCACGTCCCGGCACCCCTCCCCCCCACGGCAACTGTGTTTTTGGGACCCACAACCCACAAATTCTCACCCGGACCCTACCACCGCCCCCCCCGCGTCCACCACGTTCCGGCCCCCCCCCACACGGCAACTCTCTTCTTGGGACTCCCCAGCCCACAAATTCTCGCCAGAACCTACTTGCGCCCCCCCCCCCTCCACCACGTCCCGGCCCCCCCCCCTTTGCAGCTCTGTTCTCGCCAGAACCTACTTGCGCCCCCCCCATCCCCTCCACCACGTCCCGGCCCCCCCCACCCCCCACTGCAGCACTGTCATGAGACCCCCCAACCCACAAATTCTCGCCCAGAACCTACCAACGCCCCCCCCACCACCACCACGTCCCAGCCCCCCCTCCCCCCCCCAGCGGCAGCTCTCTTTTTGGGACCCCCCAACCAACAAAATCTCGCCCAGAACGTACCCCCCCCCCGCCTCCTCCACGTCCCGCAACCCCCCCCCACACGGCAGCTCTGTTCTGGGGACCCCCCAACCACAAATTCTCGCCCAGAAACCTGCCAAAGCCCCCCCCCGCCTCCACCACGTTCCGGCACCCCCCTTCCCACGGCAGCTCTATTCTTAGGACCCGCCAACCCACAACGTCTCGCCCGGAAATTACCAACGCTTCCCCCCCGCCTCCTCCACGTCCAGGCCCCCCCCCATGGCAGCTCTGTTTTTGGGACCCCCCAGCCCACAACTTCTCGCCCGGAACCTACCAACGCCCCCCCCCTCGCCTTCACCACGTTCCGGCCCCCCCTCTCCCACGGCAGCTCTGATCTTGGGACCCCCCAACCCACAAAGTCTCGCCCGGAACCTACCAACGGGCCCCCCCCCCCCACCACTCCACCACGTCCCGGCACCCCCCCACACGGCAGTTCTCTTCTTGGGACTCCCCAACCCACAAATTCTCACCCGGAACATACCTACGCCCCCCCCCGCTTCCACCGCGACCCCGCACTCCCACGCCACGGCATCTCTGTTCTTGGGACCCCAACCCACAAACTCTCGCACGTAACCTACCAACGCCCCCCCCCCCTCCCCTTCCACCACGTTCCGGCACCCCCACCCCACGGCAGCTCGGCAGCTCTGTTCTTCGACCCACCCGACATACAAATTCACGCCTTGAACTTACCAACGCCCCCCCCCCACCGCCTCCACCGCGTCCCGGCGCCCGCACCCCGCGGCAGCTCTGTTCTTGCAACCCAACCTACAAGTTCTCGCGCGGAACTTCCCAACGCCCACCCCCCCCAGCCTCCACCACGTCCCCGGCACTCCCCACCCCACGGCAGCTCTGTTCTTTCGTCCCCCCAACCTACACACTATCGCCTACCAAAGCCCCCCCCCCCCGCTCCACCACGTCCCAGCACCCCCACCCCACGGCAGCCCTATTCTTGAGACAAATTCTCGCCCGGAAACCTACCAACGCCCCCCCCCCGCCTCCGCCACGCCCTCGCACTCCACCCCACGGCAGCTCTGTTCTTGAACCCCCCAACCTACAAATTCTCGGCCTGGAACCTACCAACGCCCCCCCCCCCCGCCTCCACCACGTCCCCGGCACCCACACCCCACTGCAACTCTGTTCTTGGGAACCCCCAACCCACAAATTCTCGCCCGGAACCTACCAACGACCCCCCACCCGCCTCTACCACGCCCTGGCACCCCCCCTCACACGGCAGGTCTCTTCTTGGGGCCCCCCAGCCCACAAATTCTCGCCCGGAAACTACCAACGCCTCCCCCCTCGCCTCCATCACGCCCCGGCATTCCCACCCCCCACGGCAGCTCTGTTCGGGACCCCACAACCCACAAATTCTCGCCCGGACCCTACCAACGCCCCTCAGGGGAACACTAAACGGAAACCCCTCCGCAAGGTCGGGGAAAAACATCACGCCCTGAGGGCACCTCGGCCGTCCGCGGCCCTCCCCCCCTTCCTCCTGGCCGTTCGCATCGTCCGAATACGCTCCGCAGCAGCCCTGCCGTAGACACGACCGCAATTCCGAGCCGAGGCGCCACCGATCAAGACCTTGCAGGGTATGTGCTGGAACTTGGTCAATGCATAGCTAATGAAGTTGCTGAATATGGTGTGGATGATGCTGCGTGTGCTCTTGTCCAGTATACTGCTTCGTATTACTTGTGTTGCTAGTGCTTCGGGTGTTGTCCAGGATCGCGTTCATGATGCTGTTGCTTAGATGATGTTGCATACTTGGCCGTGTGGTGCATTGTGTATGGAGTTGTTCATGATGTAGGTTTGGATAGAGGTGAGGATGTTCCTTGTAAGTTTGCTTCGGGTATTGTTGGGGATGGTGCTCATGAGTCCATCATGTGCACCCGAGGGCATGTGCACATGACGGCACGTGCAAATGCGCACATCATTACCCATCAACCCATGATGCGGACACTGGAAGGACAAACTGAATCTTGCTGACAACCCCACCATACTGAATTTTCATCACCACGGGGACAACTCCATTTTCAAGCTGTGGCATCGCCCGTCTATCCAATAGGCCACACAATATGAGGGACACATAATGCTACGTCGGCACACAGGAAGGCCCTCACCACGCCCGCCGGGGGCACAGAAAGCCCCAACGAGTCCTCCTCCTCCCCCTCCCCTCCTCCCTCTCTCCTCCTCCTCCTCCTCCTCCTCCTCCTCCTCCTCCCCCTCCTCCTCCCTCCTCCTCCTCCTCCTCCTCCTCCTCCTCCTCCTCCTCCTCCTCCTCCTCCTCCTCCTCCTCCTCCTCCTCCTCCTCCTCCTCCTCCTCCTCCTCCTCCTCCTCCTCCTCCTCCTCCTCTCCCCCCCTCGCCTCCTCCTCCTCCTCCTCCTCCTCCTCCTTCTCCTCCATCCTCTCCTCCTCCTCCTCCTCCTCCTCCTCCTCCTCCTCCTCCTCCTCCTCCTCCCCCGCCTCCTCCTCCTCCTCCTCCTCCTTCTCTCCTCCTCCTCCTCCTCCTCCTCCTCCTCCTCCTCCTCCTCCTCCTCCTCCTCCTCTCCTCCTCTTCCTCCTCCTCCTTCACGCAGAAAGCCCGAGGTGAACACGTAAAAAGTTCCAGTCGCGGGCGAGGAGGAGAGGGATGCGTGGGCAGCCCAGGGGCCTGGGCATGGGGCGAGGGAGGCAGCAGGGGGCCTGGGGGAGGCAGCAGGGGGCAGGGGCGCACGGCCCAGAGAGCGGAGGCCTGACAAGGCCGGACCAAGACGGAAGGGGCGCCCGGCACCGGGACGGAGGGGGCTGTTGTGGAGCGACCTCCCCCTCGGAATCGGAGGACCCCTCATCCTCACCTTCCTGGGGATGTCCCCCTCGAGGAGGCCGAAAGCCACGAGCACCGCCTCCCTCGAGGCGTACTCGGGGACGGAGGGGGAGGAGGAGGAGGAGGAGGAGGAGGAGGAGGAGGAGGAGGAGGAGGAGGAGGAGGAGGAGGAGGAGGAGGAGGAGGAGAGGAGAGGAGGAGGAGGAGGAGGAGGAGAGGAGGACGGGGCGGAAGAGGAGAGAGGCGCGAGAGCGGGGAGAGCGCCCGGAGCCGAGCGGGCGGGTGGGCTCTCCCGGAGGAGGCCCGCGAGGGAGTTGGCGCGCCCCGCGGGGCGCCCGCCTCGCTCCCCACCTCCATCAGAACGCCCGTCTGGTGATCCTCGGCGGGGGCGGGGGGAGGAGGGAGGGAGGGGAGGAGGAGAGGGAGGAGGAGGAGAGGAGAGAGAGAGGAGGAGGAGGAGGAGGAGGAGAGGAGGGCAAAGGAGGAGGAGGGGGGAAAGAGAGGGAGGAAGGAGAGTAATTATTGATGAGCATCTCATAGAGGAGGAGGAGGGAGGAGGAGAGGAGGAGGAGAGGAGAGGAGGAGGAGGAAGGAGGAGGAGAGGAGAGGCAAGGCCGAGGAGGATCGAGGTCATCGGGCGCTCTGGGCTCCTGATGGGCCTCCGGAGCGGGGCCTCTGCTGGGGGCCTCCGGAGGCCCGCGGAGGCCTACTTCCCCGGAGACCTGCGGGGAGAGGAAGGGACAGAAAGAGAGGGGCAGGGCCTAACAGGGTCGGCCTAACAGGTTGGCGAGATGACGATCGGGCGGGGGGGGAAGGGAGATGGAGGAGGAGGAGGAGGAGGAGGAGGAGGAGGAGGAGGAGGAGGACAGAGGAAGGAAGGGGGCGCCAGGTCTAACATTAAGTCGGGCCTGTCCCCCCACAGGGGGATTTGGGGCGAAAACTTCAAAATACCAAAAAAAACAAAGAATGGTCAAACAATGCGCCAAAAAGGGTCTTCAGACGATTTTTGGCGTACTATTTTTGAATATTCCCCTGTAGAGGGACAGGCCCGACTTAAAAGTCTAACACCACCTTCTCTCGGGGCTGCACCCAGCCGTGGTGGCGCTGCACAGCTGCCGCGCAGCTGCCCCGCTCGCGGGCAGCGCCGTCGGCGCACCCGGCGCGAAGCCGAAGAGCAGCGGCTGGGGCTGGCCGCGCGGGACGCCGCGTAGGCCGCGGCACGCCTGTGCTTGTCTTTGACAAGCGGAGGCCGAGACCGCTGGTGGTGCTGCGGGCACGCTGTACGTCCATAGCCACTGCGTCTCGGACTTTCTGAGAAGGGGCGCCAACAGGCCGCGGCGGAGTGGATATTGACAAAACTCTGACCTCTAGGGGCAACATCGTCTTATCCATATCCACGGCGCCTCTGGTATCGGAAGACGGGCGCCCGAAACTCCAAGACGCAGTGGATATGCATAAAAATATTGCCCGCAAGTGTTCAACTTAACCCGAGACCTGGGCCAATCTCCAGGAACCGGTGACGGAAGAAGCGAGCTTGCGTGGGATTGCGTTCTAGCGAAGCGGAGCCTTCAACGCCCCGAACTACAACCCTCGTCAAAAATAACCTCAAAAATGCCTCACGTAGCTGAACTGATTGTGGGAGATATCGGACCGAGTGCCGATGAGTGCGATGTACTTGTATGCGCCGCCCCTCCAATGTCGGTCATCTTTGAATTTTCGAGTCGCTCCCGGTCACACCACATCTGCCCTGGCCCCGACATTGAAGGGGCGTCGTATCGACATTGAAGGGGCGCGCCGACATCGAAGGGGCGTGCCCGCCATTTTGAGGTTAATTTTGACGAGGGTTGTAGTTACACAAAGAGCGAGGTATGAGTGATGACGTTCTGGTCGGGCGAAGCCCTGATGGTGGTGTCCAGGAGGGGGGGGGGGGGGCGCCATGGCGTAACACGCCACCTCCTCACCAAGAGGCTCCCCAAATGGCCTAAAAGGCCCCCCAGACTGCACAAGATGTTCCCAAGACGGCCAAAGAGTGGTCCAAGAGGGCTCCATGACGGCCGAAGAGCGCTCCAAGAGAGCCCAAAAGCGTTCGAAGATGGCCTAAGATGGCCTCAGTCTGGTGCAAAAGGGCCCCTAGATAGCGCAAGAGGCCCTGAAGAGGACCCCCCCCAGAGGGCCAAACACTTCGATGTTCGATTAGGTTTTGATGGTGTTCAAGGCTCTCATCTTTTCAGGCCTCCGAGGGTCCAAGACCGTCCAAGCGGCCCGACACAGATCGGCCCCGAGACAGACCAAAACGCAGTATCCCGAATCCGATTTAGAACAAATGCGTTTCGCGCGTGCCCGCTCGAGGAAAGGGCGCCACCCATCTCGGATCCTCGATCACGAACGGACTCCGCAGACCACCGTGCTCCATAGGAAAACAAGTGCTGAGCGTTCTGCGTGGAATCCTTGAGAAATGGCGATGCCTGGAGGCACGGAAATTCCACGGGAAATTGGAACATATGCTGTGTGTGCCCGCTCGAGAAGGGCGCGTCCTGCGCGCAGAATCCTCGAGGATGTCTCGGGCGAAGCGCTGGCTGTCTGCAGCGCGCGAGGGGCCTGGGCGCCCCAGAGTGCCCACGCGGCCCTGGGAGTGCGGCAGCACTGCTCATTTGCCAAGGGTCGTGGCCACGGGAGCGCGGACGGCACGATCTCCCACCGGCCCCTTAGGAGGCGACTGGCTCAGGGCGCTTCCTCTTCCAGCCCCCATCCTCCTCCTCCTCCTCCTCCGCCTCCTCCTCCTCCTCCCTCCCCTCTCCTCCTTCCTCCCCACTCCTCCTCCTCCTCCTCCTCCTCCTCCGCCTCCTCCTCCTCCTCCTCCTCCTCCTCCTCCTCCTCCTCCTCCTCACTCCTCCTCCTCCTCCTCCTCCTCCTCCTCCTCCTCTCCTCCTCCTCCTCCTCCTCCTCCTCCTCCTCCTCCTCCTCCTCCTCCTCCTCCCTCCTCCTCCTCCTCCTCCCTCCTCCTCCTCCTCCTCCTCCTCCTCCTCTCCTCCTCCTCCTCCTCCTCCTCCTCCTCCTCCTCCTCCTCCTCCTCCTCCTCCTCCTCTCCTCCTCCTCCTCCTCCTCCTCCTCCTCCTCCCTCCTCCTCCTCCTCCTCCTCTCTCCTCCTCCTCCTCCTCCTACTCCTCCTCCTCCTCCTCTCCTCCTCCTCCTCCTCCTCCTCCTCTCCTCCTCCTCCTCCTCCTCCTCCTCCTCCTCCTCCTCCTCCCTCCTCCCCTCCTCCTCCTCCTCCTCCTCCTCCTCTCTCCTCCCTCCTCCTCCTCCTCCTCCTTCCTCCTCCTCCTCCTCTCTCCTCCTCCTCTCCTCCCTCCTCCTCCTCTCCTCCTCCGCCTCCTCCTCCTCTCCCTCCTCCTCCTCCTCCCCTCCTCCTCCTCCTCCTCCTCCTCCTCCTCCTGCCTCCTCCTCCTCCTCCTCCTCCTCCTCCTCCTCCTCCTCCTCCCCTCCTCCTCCTCCTCCTCCTCCTCCTCCTCCTCCTCCTCCTCCTCCTCCTCCTCCTCCTCCTCCTCCTCCTCCTCCTCCTTCCTCCTCCTCCTCCTCCTCCTCCTCCTCCTCCTCCTCCTCCTCCTCCTCCTCCTCCAACCCCCCCTCCTCCTCCTCCTCCTCCCTCCTCCTCCTCCTCCTCCCTCCTCCTCCCTCCTCCTCCTCCTCCTCCTCCATCCTCCTCCTCCTCCTCCTCCTCCTCCTCTCCTCCCCTGGCCCCTCTCGGAGCCCCCGCAGCCCCGCGGCCCCCGCGGCCCCCCGCCCGCGGCCCCCGCCCGCGGCCGCCGAGGAGGCCGCCGAGGAGGCCGAGGCCGAGGCCCTCGAGGGCTGCGCCGCGGCCGCCGGCAGCCGCGGCGCGCGGGCGCCCGCCGAGGCCTCGGCCCTGTCTCTGACGACCTACCAGACCACCCCAACCCAACCCGAAGACCCGAATGTCGGGTAAGGGTGGGGGGTATGGGTTCCATATGTGTTTTTTAGATGTTCCCCGCCCCCCATCCCCCACTGGAAATGGAGGGCAAATTGAGGTCTTCGGGTTGGGTTGGGGTGGTTTGGTGGGTGGTGAGTCTCGGGGGCGCGCAAGCATGGATTAGCGATCCATGGATTTGGCGCGCGCTCGCCAGATCCACGGATCGGGGGAGGCAGTCGGCGCGAAGCCAGGAGCCGCCCAGAAGCCGTGCGAGACCGACGTCGTCGGAGTGGTCCCCCCGCCCGCACCGCTTCGCGCTTGCCCGGCTCGGTGCTGAGATGGAGGCTAGCGGCAGCCAGGGCGGCCACCAGTGAATGGATTCCGGGGAACTCCGCGCGCCAGTCACCTGCCAGACGGCCACCGTCCATGTGAGAAGAACTTCGGGTCGAGGACCCTTACTGGGAGGCGTAGATCCTCGTCCTCCTGCTGCTCCTCCTGCTCCTCGACATTTAGCTCCTCTCCTCCGCTCCACCGGAGGACTACCCACCGCCCCAAACCCACTCGCTGTCGGACGATGCTCTCCTCGGTGGCCTCTTTGAGTACCTCGATCGCGGAGGTCAGCGCAGCGATGGCCTGAGAGGGAAGGGCACAAAAATACACCCTCCTCCTCGTCCTTCTCCTCATCCCTTCTCATCGTCATCCTCCACACCGGATTAACCACTTTTTGCGTGCCATCATCTACCTCGTCCTGATCTCACTACCCCCACTTCGCATCCTGTGAGACTTCACGAGATCTTTCAGACGATGCCGCTCAAAACGTCCACTTGACAGCATGGCTGGGGATCGGCGGTGTGCGCTGATACTCTCCTCTCTGCGGAAATCCGATTGGCGTCTGACCCCCGCCCCCGCTTACCTTCGGCCTTGCTGGACGACGTGGGCCAGCGGCTCCATTGGGACATCCTCCTCGAACCCACGACTGTCACGGTCACTACCATCGTCCATCACAAAGCACATGGGCTGTGATGCCAATGATCAGGCGGAGGCGTGTCGACGGCATCCCACTCCCCGATGTTCTGTCTTCCTCTCCGACACTGGTCATGCTGGGTGAAGAGGGAGCCAGCTACGTCCCCCCGATCGAACTGGCTCCCTCTCCTCACCCAGCATGACCAGGGGTGATGAAGGGCAAAGCGATGCGCCCTCCTCCACCTCTTCTGCGAGCATGCCCGTTCCGACATTGCGCCGTCCAAGACGGACACTGCTCGACTTTGAGAAGGGCTGCGGCAGTGCAACCAGGCGTGGCCCCCTCGTGCATGTGATCAGTGGGTAAAGTGCACTCCAGCTCGTGGTAGTACCAAGGCTCTATCCTGTTCAGCTTGCAGGGGATAGTCGACTGGACCTCACAAAGACCTGTCACCAGAAGCTCTTGAGTAGCACTCCCTCCCGCCCGTTTCTCGTCCGCAGACCATCGACTGATCGCATGCAGATCACGTGGGATGGTAATGTAAGTGATCATGGTACCACTTGCCGCACCACCCAAAAATCCAGAAGTAAGTGTTAACTTCAGTCGTCAGAAAGACAAGTTGTCAACGGTAGCCAGCATCACTGGGCAGTCAGATCCTTCTGTATTGCGATGTTTCAAGGATTGGGGGGTAGACAAAGTGCGCCTACAGCTCAATAATGATATTGAGGGCAAACATGAGAAATCCAAAGCGCAGCGTCGCAACCATGTAGATAGGTTGCGTATGTCCCTCGACGCCAAAGTGTCCTTGCAATCGCGGCCGCTCACGCTTCACAGGACGAGTCTTGCCAACACAGGACATGTAGCTAAACTCGTATCATGTAGTCGAGCGCCTGCCACATGAACGCGTTGACCCGCATACCAGGTGCAGTAATATCACACGCTGCCAAGCAAAACCAACACAAGCATCACATAAAGCAAACACTATCAACTAGAACTACGCGGTTGCGTACTGTCGCCACAAAAGGATCGTGTAGCTCTTTGTAACGTTTCCGCCACCATGCCATAGGACGACGGCATTCAGTGGAGTGTTCTGAGGTCCCTTCGAGTTCTCTGTGTTGAGGACCGCAGGATGCGCTCCAAGACGCTCTCGGGCACTCTTGTTTCATCCGCGTGGCTTTCCAGAGGCAGCGGGAGCGTAGTCTGGACTTCGCCATTCCAACATGGCATCAGATGTGTCCAGGGCCTGCCCTGGAGCCCGTGTGTGGGGCCTCCTCGGCCGTCTTACAAGATCTGGGGGCCAGCCTAAGAGGCAAGATCACCGGACAAAAACGAATGGCTGTTGAATGGTTATGGAATGCTCGCGTTCTCGGTCTGCAGAGCGCGCATCACGGCCCAAGAGGCCCCCAAGGTCACCACAAGACGGCCCCAATATTTCCCCAAAACGGCTCAACAGTACCCCAAGACGGCCTAATGTGGCCTCCAAGACAGCCAAGAAGATTGCCCCACGAGGACCCAAGGTGGTCCCATATGCCTCCAAGACGGTACAAGAGGGCCACAAGAGGCCTCCAAGAGGCCTCCAAGAGGTCTCCAAAACGCCCAAGGAGGCCCCAGGATAGTCCCAAGACGGCTGCCCTCAAGAGCCCCAAGAGGACCCTGCGTAAAGTGGTCCACATCACCCTACGACGGCCCAAGAGAGTCTCAACGTGGCCCAAGGAGAGCCCCGAGCGGTCCAGAAGAAGGTGCAGATGACCCGGAAAGAGCCCGAAGGGAGCCACAAGATGACCTCAGAGGGCTGCCAGTGCTCCCCCAGTGTTCCCCCCCACAGTGTTCACAAGCGCTGGGGGAACGCCCAGACCACTAGCATGGCCGCACCTTCGCTCGACAACATAGTCGTTTCCAGAAGGCGGGGGGCGGCGGTGATTCGCTGGGGCGCCTTCGGTATGTGGTCGTGGATGCGAGTTACTTGCAAGATTCAGCACAGAGCGCCCATTGGTGTAGCTGTTAGCGAAACGCCACCCCAGGAGAGGCCTCCACAGTGAGGAGGGAGAAGAGGTACGGTGGAGAAGGGGTGGGAGAAGCAGCAAAGAGGAAGGGGACGGAGGCAGGCACGAGGGTCCTATTTTTCAATGGGACATTCACCGGCGCAGTGCGAACGTGCGAATGCACTTGGAAAGGCCACAGGCAACTTGCACTCAGAGGGGCTGAACATCGCAGAACGAACACATAAGTGTCTCCATCCGCTCAAGCCGCGCTGCTTCCCAGCGTGACCCCGCCTCTGTGCGCATCCGCTTGACCTTCTGGGGTCACCAGGCAGGGTGCGGGAGGACGATGAGATGGAGGCATGACTGGGCTAACCGACCTGAGAGCATACGGCAACCTCCCCGGCACCTCCTCCACCAACTCCTCGTCCGCCTCCTCCTCCACCTCCTCCGCCCCCTCCTCCTCCTCCTCCCCCTCCTCCCCCTCCTTCCTCCCACTTCCCAAAATCCTATCAGAACCGGACCTCGGACACCTCCCGGGGTCGCTCCCTGCACGTCGTTCAACCTTGATCGACTTGACGGCTCCAGGGCCCAAGACAGGCCTCCAGAGGCCGAGCGTGGCAAACTGCCCCTTCGACAAAAAACTTGCCCTCCTTTTCCTCCTCCTCCTCCTCCTCCTCCTCCTCCTCCTCTTCCTCCTCCGGCTCCTCCTCCTCCTCCTCCTCCTCCTCCTCCTCCTTCTCCTTCTCCTCCTCCTCTTCTTCCTCCTCCTCATCCTCCTCCTCCTCCCCCTCTCCCTCCCCCCTCCCCCTTCTGCTCGACGGCACCGAGGCACGAAAGCCAAAGCGAGGCACTGACTTGACAAGAGGAGGAGGAGGAGGAGGCGGAGGAGGAGGAGGAGCCGGAGGAGGAGCTGGAGGAGGAGCCAGAGGAGGAAGAGGAGGAGGAGGAGAAGGAGGAAGAGAGGAGGAGGAGGAGGAGGTTTCTTTTTTCCTCCCCCTCCCCCTCCCCCTCCCTCCCCTTCCCTTCCCCCTCCCCCTCCCGCCCCTCCCGCTCCTCCCGCTCCTCTGGGCTCCTCCAGGCAGGGCGCCGACCCGCCGAGCGGAGTCGAGTTCGGGCACGGTCCCCCCACAAGACGGCACCCGAGGCGCTCCTTCCGCGCCGACCCCCGTGGTGGCGGCACCAGCGCTTGTTGGGAGGCAACTACTGGGAGGTCTTCGTCGGAAAGATTAGGGAGGATTAAGGCCCTTGGGGGGGCTGTTACGCCAGAGTGGGCCTCGGATCAAGCGGGACTAAGCCGAATTAGGCGGGACTAAGAGGGATTAGGCCGGATGAAGCGGGACTAAGCGGGATTAGGCCGGATTAAGCGGGATTTCGGACCAGGGCTAAATCAGAATTTGACCTCCCAGGAGTTGCATCCGAACGCTTGGTCTGGCCAGCAGGGGGCAGAAGAAGGGTGAGCAGAGCAGAGCCGCACCACTGGCCCGATTGAGCGAGTCAGGGCAATGGACGACGGCTGATCATTGCAATTGCCAGTCGCCCAACCAGGTGTCTTGAAAACGCTGCCATGCCCTACGTTTCTATATTCCCTTCTGGGTTCGTGGGTCGATCATGTTTGGTGAACGCTCGCTCGCATTGGGCGACAGGCGCGCTCGTCAGGCTAGCTGTGGCTAAGGCCGCGCTAACGACGACGTCGGTTAACGGTGAGGCTGGGAATCTGTTTTTCCCGGAAAGGGCTTGGGCCCAGGGCTCTCCCCTAGGATGGTAACATGTCCCTGGTGCCATATTGGGGGTAGGGTGGCGGAACTACTTGCCATGAATAACACGGTAAATCCCCATGTTGTGTTTTTTAAACATGCGTTTCGCGCACCCCCCCATTTCGGATCCGCGATGAATGACAAGGTCCGCTGACCTTCGCTCTCCCTTGTAAAAGAGAGCAGAGCGTTTTCCACATAATTCTGGCGACCTCAGAACTATTACATCGATATATATATATATATATATATACAAAGCTGACTTGTTGCATCCCCGCTCGAGAACTGGCGCGCACTGCGCGCAGAAAGTTTGAGGATGTCTCAAGCGAAACGTTGGAGAAATGGACAGGCCGTTCCTTTCGCCCCAGTCCTTTTCGCTTCAGGGCGGAACCTGCGTGAGAACAGGTGGGTCCCTTTCGCCTCAGGGCGTGGCAAGCGTGAAATTACGTGGGTCCCATTCGCGTCAGGGCAGAGCAAAAGTGAAAACACGTGGGTCCCTTTCGCATCAAGGCGGAGCAAGCGTGAAAACACTGCCGTACTCTTGCTCCGCTTTGGGGCGAACGGGGCCCACGTGTCTTCACGCTTACTGCGCTCTGGGGCGAAAGGTACCCATGTGCTTTCACATTTGCTGAGCTCTGGGGCAAAAGGGGCCCACCTGTGCTCACGCTCGGTCCGCTCTGGGGCGACTGGGATTCACATGTTTTCGCGTTTGCTGCGCTGTGGAGCGGAAAGGGCCCACGCGATTTCACGTGTATTCCGCTCGAAGTCGAAAGGGACCCAGGTGTTGTCGCGCGTCCTGGCCACCCGGGGGCGGTCCCCCCCTCCCAAACGGGGGGGGGCACAAAGGCAACGCAAACTCCTCGAATCGGCACTGGATGAGTAATCACTTGGCACGTTCCGCCTTGGGGCTCTGGGGAGGCCTCCTGGGGCTTCCTGGAG